GCTGTGTGGTGCTTTTTTTGAGTGTTCATCTACTGTCTTCTAATCCTAACCCTAACCCTAACCCTAACCCTAACCCTAACACTAACACTAACCCTAAACCTAAACTTAGCTGTAGAGAAATCACGAGAAACTACAACCTGAACACCCTAGAATTTATTGGGAATGTCTCCCGTGACGTTGTCGTGACGTCAGGGATAAGTTATAAATTAAGTACCGCGTATTCTTTACAGGACGTTGCAGAACCTACCCTAAAAGCCCCTGGCTGTTGTGTGGTTTTTTAAGGCAAATTTACGTCCAGTAGTTTGCCATTGCTTACTGGACGGTCGGCTTTCTTGATACCACTGTCGAAACCAACGCGAGGCGCATGGATCCAACCCGGCATCCCGGCCATACGAAGCGTTCGCATTAACTTAGCCACAGAGCCGACACAAAGTCAAGTAAAGTGCCCTTTTTCAGGCTATGGGGTGTATTGGGCATAAGAGCTAGGCCCACATTTTATGTAAATTTCAATTGTTGTTGTTATTGTGGTTAAAAAAAATCACATAATTAAAAAAGAATTAGGCTGCTTAGAAAAGCTGCTGAGTTGAGATACATTTTAAGAACCGACAGGGGCCTCAACACATTCATATGTTTGTTCACAATTGAAATTTGTTTGGTGTGTGTGTATGTGTGAGTGTGTGTGTTTGTGTTATAAAGCCTGTAAGAGGATTACATAATGTGTGTGATGATTTCGCAGGCACACTCTTTTCAATTTTTGTTTCTAAAAATTAAACAATACATCTTAATCAATGATATCTTCTTTTTTCGCGTTTACCAGCTGTAAACTCTGGAGGAAAGTTCTGGTTGTTCATCCACTACTGGACTGCAGTAGAAGAAGAAGAAGAATGGTATATTTAAAAAGCCTATATATTTTAACGTATCCCGAAATAGCTGGTGTTATTTAAACAGTAAGGGCCTCAATGCTTTGTCACGTCAGTCACTGTGGTCTTTTTTTACATATCGCCATTGAGCTGTCTGTTGCCAATTCCCCACCCCTCTCCTCCTGTGGCTATATGCAAGAACGTTATTGCCAACGCCTAAACTCTACTAATAACTGGAGCTTCATGTGTTCCTGTCTTGCTTGTATAACATTCGAAGAGCGCTAGTGAAATTGCAGAACCCCGTGGTAGTCCCGCAGCGACTGTCCATGGCTGTAGGTTTCATGTACCTACCTAGACGAAGGGCAACCATAGGTAAATACAGGACAGCTGCTATCTCTTAAACCAGAGTTGTCCAATTACCTGTGCTTCTGCCACCTGCTCAAGTCTGCCTGATAAACTTCTATCCGATAAACCAACTGTCCCTTTGTCACTTTTGACCCCTGGAGAAGACGATTAGGTTGCTACTAGGGCTGTACCGAATATTCGCTTCGTATTCGCTTCGGGGCCGAATAGTGGACCTAATAACTATTCGGTATTCGGCCGAATAGTTGCGGTCGGGCCGAAGGCGAATAGTGGTAACCTTACACCCGTTTCGTGACTGGTGGAAAATGAACATATCAAAATTTCCCACCTTGGTTCATACTGTCAAGCGTTATCTTTGTGCACCATCTAAGAGCGTAACAAGTGAACGTCTGTTTAGCACAGCTGGAAATACATTCAGTGAGACGAGAAGCTGCCTTAATGCTGGCAACTTGGAACAATTTTTTTTTTTTTAAAGCTAATGCTGCTTTCATGGATTAACTAAACGGTTAGTGACATTTTACAAGTTTAGCTACTTGTTATAAAACTAAGAATACTTTCATTTTTAGGCATAAGTTACCACAGACTGACTGACTTGAAGGATGCAAAACATGAAATATTTTTAAATGTTTTCTATTCTGTACTACATTTTGAAAAGTAAAATGTCAGCTTACATTTGACATTATGTTTGTTTGTTTTTGTTTTTTTTAAAGATCTATTTTATACACTATTCGAAAGTGGAAGAATGGGCCTCAGTCTGAATAGTGGTAGGAAGACAGAAGTAATGGTGGTATCAAAGAAAATTATTCCTAAATGTGTAATAAAAGTCAATGTTTTTTGTTTTGTTTTTTGTGTGGGACAAGTACAGAAATTTAAGTATCTGGACACATGGATAACATCAGATGGAATATGCATGACTGAAATAAGAAACAGAATAGGACAGGCAAAAACTGCATTTTATACAATAAAGAACATCTTATGCAATATATCTTTGTCATTTAATGTTAAAAAATAAATTATTGCTTGCTACACACATCTAGTTTTAACATATGGCTGTAAATCCTGGACAATCGGTAGAAAGGCCAAACAATTTCTTGAGGCCTCAGAGATGTGGTTTTACAGAACAATGCTTAAAATACCTTGGACAGCCACACCAAAAAAGCAACTTAGAGGTTTTGAAACAGGCGGGAGCCCGTAGACAACTTATCACAGACATCAGAAGGAGACAGTCATCATTTTTCAGCTATGTTATGAGAAGAGGGAAAATGGAACATGTTGTGACCACTAGAAAGATATGTGGAAGGAGGGATAGGGGAAGACAAAGAGAGAAGATTCTTGATAGTCTTGTTGCATGGCATGGAGGTGTGTCGGCACAAGAACTGATACATGCTGCAGGAGATCGCAGATTGTGGAGAGGCATAATCGTCCATGCCAGTGGGCAAAGCACACGATGATGATGATTCACTATTCGTATTCGTATTTGGCCGAATAGTTGGTCCAGCTATTCGTATTCGGCCGAATAGTGAAAATCACTATTCGGTACAGCCCTAGTTGCTACCATAGTCCAAGATCACCATAACCTCTGTAGCTGTGGTTGTTCGATCAGCGATGCAGAAGTCCGAGACCTGGGTCGACCCGCCCCCTAAATGGTCTAAGAGATAAATGGATTGAAACATCTGGCGACAGAGGACCCCTACAGGGGATCGGTTGGCTAATGTTGAGCATACTTCTATCGCGGAGTTCTACTACTTCTTCTAGTTAACCAACCAGGGACAGACCACACTATTCATGAAAGCAGACATCAAAATATCATACCTCAAACTATTTTAGGCATCTCCAAGATCAAGTGCTGCTGACACCGTTTCATGTCTATTCTAGAACTTCTGCAAGGGAACTCCGCCCCAGCCCTAGCGAGCACGCCTAGTGTTTTATTTGAGAAAGCGCCTATGACAATCGAGTGGAAAAGAGAAACATCAACAACACTGCATACCTTTGTCTTTGAGAGCATCACACTTAAATTCGTCATTGTTGCAGACGTCAGTGAGCCACTCGCCCTGGGACAGGTATTTAGGACTCTTTATCTTCTTCCTACGGCACTCTTCTCCGTCATGGGGATCGCAGATCCCTGTAGAAACCACACTTTTCTTAAGATCTTAATTGGTCACTTCATCCAATATAGTTTAAATTAAGAGTTTTTTTTTTTTTTTAATATCATGTATCAGTTATCAGTTTATTTATCAGTTAGTAGTAGTTGCATCAGCAGCATCAGCACAAGCACGAGCAGCAGCAGCAGGGCCGTAGATTATGTCAGTGACATGCAAGTCTGTGAAATACAGCCCCTTCAAAAGTTAACAAAGATTTTGAAGAGTTAGACTAAGTAATAAATAACACTCTAGTCTTACTCAATATCGCCATGGGCTGTGAGTCCCAGGTCTCCTCATTGCACAAAGTAACACTATCGTCTGTGAAGACGGAAATGTGCCAGTCAGTCACTCAGTCAGTCAATCACTCAATGAACAACAATAGCGGAAGATTACAATGTGTGAAGAACTTTTAGAGTAGCAATGACAAATCAGTCAATGTGTGTGAAGAACTTTTAGAGTAGCAATGACAAATCAGTCAATGTGTGTGAAGAACTTTTAGAGTAGCAATGACAAATCAGTCAATGTGTGTGAAGAACTTTTAGAGTAGCAATGACAAATCAGTCAATGTGTGTAAAAACAAAATCATCAATTGTGAGAACTTAGCAATGACAAATCAGTCAATGTGTGTGAAGAACTTTTAGAGTAGCAATGACAAATCAGTCAATGTGTGTAAAAAATCTTAGAGTAGCAATGACAAATCAGTCAATGTGTGTGAAGAACTTTTAGAGTAGCAATGACAAATCAGTCAATGTGTGTGAAGCACTTTTAGAGTAGCAATGACAAATCAGTCAATGTGTGTGAAGCACTTTTAGAGTAGCAATGACAAATCAGTCAATGTGTTGGGGAGCTGCGTGGTATCGAGGCATGGTGTCGGCCTCAAGTGCTAGTGGTTCTGGGTTAAATCTCCGGTAAGGGCTGGGGTTTTGTCACGGGCACTTGGACTTCCAGACATTTCCCCTGGCCTCTGGTAAGTGAGATAGGACGCCCGTGTGCATTGTTGCGCACGTAAAAAATAAATCTCTTGGCAGTTGGAAATCAAACAGGTAGCCTAACGTAGCTGCCCTGGCAAAAATTTGGAGTTAAAAATCTAGCTAAAGTATTTATGGATCCTTGCTATAGAACCTGTGCAATGTGCTGAGCTACTTCGGAGTCAGACTTGAGTTATGGGTTACTACCCGTGTGCCATGATGTTGATCCGTTGTATAAAAACCTTAAAATAAGTAAACGGAAATGCTACAGAAAAGTTCGTTAAAAAATTGCGGAACAAAAAGAAGCAGCAGTGAAAACGTCACATCCTGCATGCCGTAAACACCAATCAGAACTGGAAAATAGAATATGCATCAATTGACCAAGTTAGGAGACTGTAAATCAGTTCACATGTGCAGCGACACGTTCTGGTTATTTGGTTAGCCTATCCCGCACACAATAAAAATAATGTTTCACGAGTGGCTAATGCTAGAGATGACCAACTCAGAGTGAAAACACATAAGAAACATTAGCAATTTTATGGTTTGCCTGAAAGAAAATCGGTCTTTCGCCAGCTCTCCCGCCATGTACTTTCATACTCAAGGAGTCATTTATATCCTGTGCCTATCTTCGTGTCGGTCGACACCTGCCCCTCCTGCCTGGTACCATGACTTCGACTATTCATCATCATCATCAGGTGCCTTGCCGACTGGCGTGGGTGATCATGTCTCTCCATAATCTGCGATCTCCTGCAGTATGTATCAGTTCGTGTGCCGACACACCTCCATGCCATGCTACAAGACTGTCAAGCATCTTCTCTCGTTGTCTTCCTCTATCCCTCCTTCCATAGATCTTTCCAAAGGTCACAACATGTTCCATTTTCCCTCTTCTCATAACATGGCCGAAAAACTTATGACTGTCTCCTTCTGATGTCTGTGATAAGTTGTCTTCGGGCTCCCGCCTCTTTCAAAACCTCTTGGTTGCTTTTTTCGGCTGTCCAAGATATTCTAAGCATTCTTCTGTAAAACCACATCTCTGAGGCCTCTAGAAATTGTTTGGCCTGCCTACCGATTGTCCAGGATTCACAGCCGTATGTTGAAACTGGATGTATGTAGCAAGCAAGAATTCTTTTTCTAACTCCTAATGACAAGGATATATTGCACAAGATGTTTTTCATTTTAAAAAATTCAATTTTTACCTGTCCTATTATGTTTCTTATCTCAGTTATGCATCTTCCATCTGATGTTATCCATGTGCCCAGATACTTAAATTTTTATACTTGTCCTAAAAAACACCATCGACTTGTATCATAAGACTTATTGTGCTATGGTCTTTTCATTTTATAGTGCCTGGTTTCTTTGGCAGAGCTATAAATATGGATTTTAAAAGGTCATTTGGAATATACCCATTATTATAAATATCATTTAAAAGTTTAGTTATTATTTTAATTCCGAAACCTCCCAGTGCTTCGATTTCTTCCAGTGAGCCTGGCCCGGATGCTTTTATTTTCTTCATATCAGGCATTGCCTCCTCAACTTCTGCAGTCATTATTGGTGGACCATCTTCGACTATTATTGTTTCCTAATCCGTCGTGGCGCTTGATGTGACCAAAATATTTTAGCTTCCGAGACAGGATGCTGTTTATTAGCCAATCTTTGTTAATATTCAGATTTTTCAACATGTCAGTATCTCTCCTCTACTTTGTCCAAGATATTTTGAACAGCTAACCTTATTGCAGTTTACTGTAAGCATGCTCATTGTTTCCTTTGAATCGGTGTCCACACCCCCCCCCCCCCCCCCCCCCCCCCCCCAAACCACCAATATACCGCAAAAAGGGCGAAATACAAAATAGATACTTGTTTAGATAAAAAACCCATTTACTACAAGGAAAAACACATAAGGGCTCCGTTCTGCTTTTAACTCAAGTCTGAATCCGAAGTAGCGCATCGGAGTGCACGGGCTCCGTAGCACCGGCGAGGATCCTCAAAATATTTTGAATAGATTTTTAACTACAAATTTTACCCGGGCTACTTTTTTTTCTATTTTTAACTGCTGATTTTTTTTTTTTTTTTTTTAACGCCTTTACTGAACCCGGGACCTCTAGCACTCGAGGCGGACACTGTGCCTCGAGACTACGCTGCTACTGAGTTACAGTTCTTCAAAGTTAGGCACGACTTTCGAAACGGACTAAACACACATAACCGGGTACATACCAGGGTGGGAAAGTCCGATTGTCATTTCTGGTATTTTGTTTTCCTCCCACTCGCAGTTTGGGTCACCCAGTTCAAGGCCGTTGGAGTAACCGTCTCCGTCCGAATCCATGAGACACAACTTCTTGTCCCAGCGCTGCGGACAGAGCATGGGAGCTTAGATCGTCGTGGGGATCAAGTTTATGGCCGCAGTCAAGTTTCATGTCATAGTCAAGTTTACAGACACACTAAAGTTTACAATCACTGTTAAGTTTACAGTCATAGTTAGTTTTAATTGTCACAGTCAAGGCTATTAGGACAGACACAGTTTTTGTCACAGTCAAGTTTATTGTCATAGGAAGGTTTCCAATCACAATGACATTTATTGTCACACAGAACCTTATTGTAATAGTCACGTTGTTTGTCACAGTCACGTTTATTGTCAGAATAAGGTTGATTGTTACAGTCAGACTGTGCAATATATGTCAGAGCAATATTCTTTTAAAGCGATACAATATCACTTTCACGTGTTGTCACAGTCGTTACATTAATATATTGTAGAGCTGTGAATTGTCACACTCAAGCATTGTCACAGCTGTGTAATAACACAGTCATATCTTGTCATAGCTGTCCAATGGCAAATTCATGTACACGTAACATCACATTCGTGTATTGTCACATTCATGTATTGTCACATACATGTTAATGTCAAATTCAGGCAACAGCACATTTATGTTTTCTCACATACCAAAATTGACGATAGGCACGGTCACTATTTTTAGTTTTGATAAATTTTCACTTCTGACAGACGGTGCCCGTTGTGTTTTCCTCCATTTGTCGACCTAAAGGATGTTGTTTTGTCGCCCAGCTACTGAACTGAGTGCTTAGTGCGACACTGTGAGCTGCGGACTTCATTTGCAAATTTTTCGTCTATGACCAGCGTGATGTTGTGAACTCTAAAAGGCGAGGGGCCTGTTGTCACATAATTGGTGGTGCCTTATGCGATTAAAACTGATCGCGTGTGCAACTTCTGCTTTGTTTGAGACTGCTGCTTTCCTCGATGATAAACTGCATTTCCAATGTCGGACTGTTTGTGTTAGCACTTCTGATGTCTGCCTTATGACTTTAACGAGTGTGTACGCTAGTGCATATGATGAGACTGCGGTTTGTCAATTTTCCCACAAGGGACAGTCATGGACATTCCATATTTTTTCGCTGGCACAGGATCGTGGCAACTTTGAAGTGACCTATTTGCGATGAAGGGAGTCACCGTGGCGAAGCAGTTAGACCCTCGCGTGCGGATCGGAAGGTCTTGTGTTCGCTGCCTAACCGAGCCAGGCTTTTTTTTCAAAAATGACTTTGACTCTAAGGTCGACACAGCCCTGAGTGGGTACCGGGTGCAGTCCCGGGAAGTAAAAGCAGCCGGCCTGATGCTGACCACATAATCCATCTTGTGCCGACTTGTCTTTAAAAATATGCGTCTAGCCCTATATGCCCTATGCGTTTAAAGGCGTGGCAAAGAAACTTTACTTTCTTACTTACTTTGCTATAAATCTAAAAACTAAGACTACCAGATTACCAGATGCAAATATGGTGACGTTCAAACACGCAAATCCATGCAATAGCACTCACGTATCCGTTTGCCTCGAAGTCAAGACCGAAGGGATTCTGAAATCCAGTTCCGTGATTATTGATGTGGCCGACACCAGGCCAAACCGTCCCAGGCCTGCAGGGAAAGGGAACCAGTTCTCCGTTTGGGATCTTCTTCTGGAAGGACAAGTATGACGTCACCAACGGCAGCAGTAAGGCCAACACAAGGGATCTACAAAATAGAACAGAATCATAGTTCAGATCACTTGTGTCCATAGTTTTAGTCCTTATATTCTGGTCTTCCATTGGAAAGGCACTTGTCGAGTTGACATCCTGGGCAGATAATAGTATGTGGGACGTCCTGGGCAGACAATAGTCTGTGGGACATCTTGGGCAAACAATAGTCTGTGGGACATCTTGGGCAGACAATAGTCTGTGGGACATCCTGGGCAGACAATAGTCTGTGGGATATCCTGGGCAAACGATAGTCCGTGGGACATCCTGGGCAGACGATAGTCTGATGGACATCCTTGGCAGACAATAGTCTGTGGAACATCCTAGGCAGACAATAGTCTGTGGGACATCCTAGGCAGATAATAGTCTGTGGGATATCCTTTGCAGACAATAGTCTGTGGGACATTCTGGGCTGACAATAGTCTGTGGGACATCCTAGGCAGACAATAGTCTGTGGGACATTCTGGACAGACAATAGTCTGTGGGACATCCTGTGCTGACAATAGTCTGTGGGACATCCTGGGCAGACAATAGTCTGTGGGACATCCTGGGCAGACAATAGTCTGTGGGACATCCTGGACAGACAATAGTCTGGTGGACATCCTGGGCAGACAATAGTCTGTATGACATCCTGGGCAGACAATAGTCTGTGGGACATCCTGGACAGACAATAGTCTGGTGGACACCCTGGGCAGACAATAGTCTGTGGGACATCCTGGGCAGACATTAGTCTGGTGGACATCATGGGCAGACAATAGTCTGTGGGACACCATGGGCAGACAATAGTCTGTGGGACATCTTGGGCAGACAATGGTCTGGTGGACATCCTGGTAATCTTTCAGAACTGGTGGCCATTCTAGGCAGACAAAAGTCTTTGGGGCATCCTGGGCAGACTTTATACTGGTGGACATCCTGGGCTGGCAATAGTCTGTGGGGCATCCTAGGCAGACAATAGGCTATTGGGCATATTGAGCAGATGATAGTCTGTAGGACATCCTGTCCCGGACAGACAGTCTGTGGGTCATCCTGGGCAGACTTTAGACTGGTGACCATCCTGGGCAGACACTAGTCTGTGGGACATCCTGGGCAGACAATAATCTGTAAGACATCCTGAGCAGACAATTGTCTGAGTAACAGAGTAAGACCAAACACGTTTCTTCTGTAAGGTGGTGGTTTTCTCGCTGTTAGTATGAGACTAGGTTCTATATTACTATCCTACCCCCGGATAACATCACCGGAAGTCCGACATTTTTAAGGATGGTAAGACTGGGTTTACCAGCTTTCTGATGCTTTTAATGACCCCCAAAACCTCTAGAACTGGATCTAACCATAACCCATCTACGTCCCACGAGAGAGTGCAGCCTAGGTCCTACGACTGCATGCTCCTATCTACCACCCCCTGAAATATTAGACTGTCCCGTGATCTGTGGATTTCCCCATGTTTGGGGGTAGGATATTAATAAAGCACCTAAGACTGTCACTATTCAAGCATTGAGACTGATTGAGACAATCAGGTTAGTTTCAACCTCCCCCCCCCCCCCCCCCCCAATATCGTCGGCTACAAGATTTGGCAGGGGAATTCCTAAGTAGTTTCCCAGAAGGTCATCTAGCATTGGAAAAGGGGGGGGGGGGGCTGGAAGGAGAAAAAAAAGGTGGGGGGGGGGGGTGATGGAGCTAGGGCCACTGTTAGTCGGTTTTCATTTAACCATAACCTTACGACCAAAATAACTGCGATGTTTTAGACCTTTCATGTGTTGGTTGTTTTCCGCGTATTCATCGTTAATCATTATTTCCAGTGTGTCCTACTTTTGTCCGTTTGTCGCCAACACTGTGCCATGTTTGTAAACGGTGTTCTTACTTCATGACTCGCTTTTGACGGGAGGTTACTTGGCCTGTCAGTATTCCTGTATCTAGCCCTAGCTCTAAACATAACTCTAACTATAAACCTAACTCTAACTCTAACCCTAACTCTAACCCTAACTCTAACCCTAACTCTAACCAAAACTCTAACTCCAACTCTAACCCTAACTCTAACCATAACTCTAACTCTAAAACTATCTCTAACCCTAACCCTAACTCTAACTATAACCCTAACTCTAACCCTAACTCTAACCCTAACTCTAACTCTAAAACTATCTCTAACCCTAGCCGACGAGTATGCACACATTGAGACATTCGCTCCAAAACGCTAACCTTCCCCCCTCCCCCCCCCCCCCCCCCCCCACCCCCGATACTAAAGGACCTTCAGTGAAACTACATTTGAATTCCCTACCGAATCTCTCTGTCGACGAGATGGGGTGAAACAGCTGAACCATACCGACAATAATTTTCCTCAAGCGATAGAGATTGGTTAAAACAAGTTTTTGATGGAGACAACAGTTTTCCACCGATCATGATTGATTGAGACAATCTTCCCAGAAACTGAAAATTCTTGAAACAATCAGTTTTCGATATTTGGAACGAACGAACGAACGAATTTCATTTTTAAAGGGTCACAAATTTGTGACCCAGTAGTGTTTCACATGGCAATTGTATTTGATCTATTTTGATCATCCGTTTCCCAGCAAGGTTTAATTTGAAACCATGAGAACTCATTTTTCTGTTGCTGCTGTCAGTTGGTATCCCCCCCCCCACCCCCCCCCCCCCGCCGGCCCCCAACCTTCAGCAACTAGAAATGTTGATTTTATTTCACGCAGTGTCAACAGCTTGTGTAGTTGAAAGGGACTATGGCCAAACGTTGTGACATCCCCTTCTTCTTTTGTTATCACATTGTCACCAGCTTGTAGGCCTCTGTCAGAGATTTGAACTATTTGTCTTGTGCCTCTGACGTGGGTTTTTTTGACATTTAAACATGAGTTAAACTATCTACAACATAATTTGAATCATTCTACCCATCTGTGACATGCAGCATTTATCATATGATGCAAACAACTGTCTAAGAAACCTCTAGAAAAATCATCAAACATACAAATACACAGATGTCATTCAATGGTTCTTTCAATGACTCGTGTACAAAGTTGCACTGCGTCGAAAGGCCCATTCATGTTGAAAAGATTGTTCTGGATACATCAATTTCAGACCTGACTGGCAAGTCGAGAGCCACTCTTGAAAAGTCAATATTCTTTTTAATTCTCCTGCGTTGAATGTCTATTAGCTATTGTTGCGATTTTAGCTATCCAGAGTCACTCGAGACCATACATAGACGATGTTTGTTTAATAAACGATATTGTAATTACCACGATAAAAGAAATTAAAAATATATAGGAAGGTCGTTTTTGTTTTCAAGGTCAGGTCATTCAGCCAGATGACGTCATGTTGAATTCACGAGAGAATTTTCGCATTGCGAAGTTGCCAGGTAAATGTTGTATATGAACTTTCTGCTTCACTTGTAAGTGCATGCCGTGTAGCGTTTCCATTCACATCTTCTGTTTCGTGTACTTTCAATCATTTCTGGCGCAGACGATCTTACATGCCATGATGTCAAACTGTCCACCATTTTTTCCCGTAGTCTTTCTCCGTCTCTTTCCCTGTCCAACTTTTGCACAGTGATGATGTTCTTTAGTTTTCTCCTTCCCGAGTGTGCAATGATGCTCGACCCAGGGTCATTGTAATTGTTCGTCTCTGTATTTATGGACACCACCTGCCGTCTCACCCAGCAGCAGCTTGTCTAGGGCTCAACTTTCTGGGATGGCATCATGCTTCTTAACTTGTCCACTCTCAATGACTGTGCAGGAGCAGATTGGTTTATTGGTTTATTCAAGGAGTCAACATCATAGCACACGGATGTGACCCATACGTGCTTCGTTCCACTTCTAACTCAAGCCTGAGTTTTAAGCAGCTTAGTACAGTGCACGAACTCCGTTGCACAGGCGAGGATCCTGAAATACTTAGATTTTTAACTCCAAATTTAGCCTGGGCCGCGCCGTTAGGCTACTCTTTTCAATTTCCAACTGCCAATGGATTTTTGATGTGCGCAACAATAAACACACATGGGTGTCCGATCTCACTACCCAGAGACCAGGGTTACTAAAATTCCACATGGAAAAAACAATTCCAGCCTTCCCTGGGCCTGAACCCGGGATTCCAGCACCCGTGTCATGAACATATATAACTCTTTAGCATAACACATGATATTCCACATCTTTATACACGACCATTGCCTTCCTCGACCTATGGCTCGCAACCTTGGCTCGCAACTTTGGCTCACAACTTTGGCTCGGAACTTTGGCTCTCAACTTTGGCTCGGAACTGACCAAGAGTCAACCTCAGGATTTTGTCTCGTCCTTCTCTTCAGCCACGAGTACACCGTACCGTCTTCTCTTGCATGGCTTTCTGTCCGGCCTGCTGTACTCGTGAGTCACCAAGCATAGCAGGGGTCGTCATGATGACATGGCCAGAGATTGTCTACTTCTCCTTCTAATTTTAAACTGAATGAGTTCTTCTTCTTCTTCTTCGCGTTCACCAGCTGTAAACTTTGGCGGAAAGTTCAGGTTGTTCATCCACTTCTGGACTGCAGTTCTGTTCTAGAACTTGAGTTGGGTGTGCATCCGTTTTACAGATCTGAATCATTTGTATGCAGACTGCTGTTCCTTGCCTCCAAGGCAGATGTACTCCGACTTCGAATTAGTCGACTCTTACGACATGCATTTGGATAGGCAGTGGGTATATTCTTGTTTTCCCTATAATAGGGTCCCTGAACCCACACGGGGAGGATGAATACAAGAAATGCAAATCAAAGAAAATGTCTCGATAACTGCACGCGTCAATGGTTGTAAGACACCGAGGGTGGCTCTGTAGCAGGCACTTGCTGTGTAGAAACAGAGATTCACACAACAGGCACTGTCATATTTAAACAGACCAGAGAAATTAGGATTCCTCAAACAGACTCCATATGAAGAGCATTAAAGAGAGGGGCAAAATTTGCTGAACTGGATTCTAGCCTTGATAGAACAGCACAGAGGAATAGACCAGAACAGAGGAACAGACCAGAACAGAGGAATAGACCAGAACAGAGCAATAGACCAGAACACTGGAAAAAACCAGAACAGAGTAATAGAACAGAACAGAGGATTATACACGAACAGAGGAATAGACCAGAACAGAGCAATAGACCAGAACAGAGCAATAGACCAGAACAGAGCAAAAGACCAGAACAGAGCAATAGACCAGAAAAGAGGAAGAGACCAGAACAGAGAATTAGACCAGAGCAGAGGAATAGACCAGAACAGAGCAATAGACCAGAACAGATGATTAGACCATACAGAGGAATAGACCAGAACAGAGGAATAGACCAGAACAGAGGAATAGACCAGAACAGAGAAATAGACCAGAACAGAGGAATAGACCAGAACAGAGAAATAGGCCAGAACAGAGGATTAGACCAGAACAGATGATTAGACCAGAACAGAGGATTAGACTAGAACAGAGGATTAGAATACAACAGAGGATTAGACCAGAACAGAGGAATAGACCAGAACAGAGGAATAGACCAGAACAGAGCAATAGGCCAGAACAGAGCAATAGGCCAGAACAGATGATTATACTAGAACAGATGATTAGACCAGAACAGCTGATTAGACCAGAACAGAGGAATAGACCAGAACAGATGATTAGACCAAAAAAGGAATAGTCCAGAACAGAGGATTAGACCAGAACAGAGGATTAGACCAGAATAGATGATTAGACCAGAACAGAGGAATAGACCAGAACAGAGGAATAGACCAGAACAGATGAATAGACCAGAACAGATGATTAGACCAGAACAGAGGAATAGACCAGAACAGAGGATTAGACCAGAACAAAGGAATAGACCAGAACAGAGAAATAGACCGAAGCAGATGATTAGACCAGAACAGAGGAGTAGACCAGAACAGAGGAATAGACCAGAACAGAGGATTAGACCAGAACAGAGAAATAGACCAGAACAGGAATAGTCCAGAACAGAGGAATAGAACAGAAAAGAGGAATAGACCAGCACAGATGATTAGACCAGAACAGAGCAATAGACCAGAACGGAACAATAGACCAGAATAGTAGAATCATGGAATGTGAATGCACAAATGAGAAAGAATTTAGATTCGACGGAGAAGTGGTTTTTCATACGAATGTTAATCATTCTTTTGAGTGCCAGAGTAACGAACGAGGATTGTCTGAAAGAAGCTAATGAAAGCAGATCAATATATACAGCTATAAGGGAACGTCAAGCATTGTTCTTTGGTCAAGTGATGAGGGGCAAAGCTTTGGAGAATATTATGACAATTGGGAAGATCAGTGATAGAAGATGGAGCGGCAGATGGATTGCCATGTTGATGGATGGATTGCGACCGTGGCAAGGAGGGATATTTGATTATGATAAGACGCTGTTATAAAGTAAAAACTAGACGTTATTATGAAGTAAACTTGACGCCGTTATAAAGTAAACTGGACACTTTTATGAGGCGAAATATACATAGGTTATGGTGGCTTGATGACAATTATTTCATGGGGGGGGGGGGAGGAGGGGTACCTTTCCTAGAAGAGAAGGCAGTTGCCGACCTGCGCGAAGGTGGGACATTGAAGATGCACTGGCCATGAAAGCACATAGGGCGGAATAATCGGCCAGATAAAGAGAGATTTTCATGCGTGCCGTGAAGAGAGCGACGTTCTGTGAAGGAGCTTTTGATTTTTGATGACACGCAGGGTACACAGCAAGATAACATCCACATTTGCCTAAGCGTGTAAAAAAAAAAAAACACTAAAACGTTACAACGGATATAAAGCGAGCGGAAGACCTAGGAAAATATGGAGTGATGGCATTCTGAACAGCTTTACAGAAATTGAACATCAATCCTAATAGTGCTCTTGACAGAGCTCATCAACGAATGTTACATTTTCCCCCGACGCTTCGCTGAGGTACAAGGTGGAAGAGAATATAATAATAATAATAATAATAATAATAATAATAATAATAATAATAATAATAATAATAATAATAATAATAACAATAATAATAATAATAATAGTAATAGTAATAATAATAATAATAATAATAATAATAATAATAAGAAGAAGAAGAAGAAGAAGAAGAAGAAGAAGAAGAAGAAGAAGAAGAGAAGAAGAAGAAGAAGAAGAAGAAGAAGAAGAAGAAGAAGAAGAAGAAGAAGAAGAAAAAGAAGAAGAAGAAGAAGAAGAAGAATAATAAGAAGAAGAAGAAGATACACATAAACTTGAAAATAATTGACTATATTTCTTACTTGATATACATCTCTGCTGAAAGGAATCTTGCCGGTGCTCAGCCAGAGTTCATCTATGGGCCTAATGTATCGGCTTAACTGGGTGGATATGTGGTTCTGGGCTGGTGTCCTTCCCACAACTAGAGATTCCGTTGGGAACCTACAGGGAAAGAAGCATATTTATAGCGTTCGCTATGAGACAGTGACCTTGTAAACAGAGGCGCTGACACAATGGAAATATTGACGCGGTGGGCTTAACAAAACTGGTTAAAAAAGGGGAAGGGGGGAGAGAATAACTGAAAATGTAAATTATGTAGTTCTCTCAGCTAGCCGTAATAATAATAACAACACTAGTATTATAGTAGTAGCAGTAGTAGTCGTAACAGCAATATTAACAGTAGTAGTAGTAGTAGTAGTAGTAGTAGTAGTAGTAGTAGTAGTAGTAGTAGTAGTAGTAGTAGTAGTAGTAGTAGTAGTAGTAGTAGTAGTAGTAGTAGTAGTAGTAGTAGTAGTAGTAGCAGCAGTAGTAGTAGTAGTAGTAGTAGTAGTAGTAGTAGTAGTAGTAGTAGTAGTAGTAGTAGTAGTAGAAGCAGCATTAGTAGTAGTAGCGACAAGGGCAGCAATAGCAGCAAGGATAGCAGCATCAACTCACCAATAGTAGCAGTAGGGGTGTCACGTTGTACTGTTCCCTTCGACAAGAGTCTCTCGTGGGACCTAGGCTCAGGCTGTGGGTAGGGGGGTTTGGGTTAGGGCCAGTTCTTGATGTTCTGGGGTTGTTAAAAGCTGTGTCGCCGTGTAGTTTAGAACACGCGACAATGGCGCTGATGTAATTGGAAGCAAGACAATGTGAGACCCCTCTGACGTAGAACAGTCTGAGAAAGCATGAAATGAAAGGTCAGCCAGTGTGCAGATGTGGCTGGGAAACTGGAACAGGACATAATTAGCTAGTAAAAGCTGCGTAGTTACATACCCCGCACGGAGACAAGGAGGAATTTTGATTATGCTTCAAAGTTTTCTTAAGATAGTTGATTTGGTGAGATCATCCTCATCATCATCATAAACCAGTTCTGCAGTTAAGCATCGTGGGGAGGTATAATTTGCGATCCAGTGCACGTTGGCTGCCACTGGCTATTGTCGTGCCGTAAAGGCGTAGAGTGTCTTTAATGTTGTCGAGCCATGTTTTCCGCGGCCGTCCTCTTGCTCTTGTAGTTGATCTTCTGAGATGTAGGGCTTGTGATGGTATTTGATCTTGCTGCATTCTAACGAGATGGCCAAACCACTTGATCTGCTGTTTTCGATGAATCTAGTACAGGATGTCGTTCCCACAATTTGCCTGATAGTTTTATTATTCACTCGATCTCGTATGGTTAGGTTGGCTGCTTTTCTCAGGCACCTCATCTCGCAGATGGTGATTTTGCGTATATGGGCTTTAGATAGTTTCCATGTCTGACACTGGTAGTTTAATCTTCGAATGAATAGGCTATTAATAATATGTCTCTTTGCACTCATAGTTATGCTTGTATGTCTTAATAATGGAGACAATTGGTATATAAGTGCACTTGCTTTCTGACATCTGGTTTCTATTTCTCTGTCAATTCTACCATCTTTTGTGATCATACTTCCTAGATATTTAAACTCCCTAACTTGATTCGGGGCATATTTCTTTAATATTCTGCATTGCATACTATTTCATCTTTTTTAATATTCTGCATTGTGTAATATTTCATCTTTGTCTCTTACTTCATGCTTCTCCCTTTTGTACCGTCTTGCACTTTTATATTTTGTCTCTCTTCGTTTTCACTGTTGTTTTCTCTTACATTGCCTGTGCACTTCAGCTGTTTCTATTGCTCTGCATATGACTGGACATATGTCTTTAATATTCTGCAGTGACTATTATTTGATCTTTGTTTCTAACTTCAAGCTTCTCCCTTTTGTACCATCTTGCA